ATGTAGAAATGGAGAAGCTACAAACAAAGAAATGCTTTGAAGAAGTAGAGAGCTTGGAAGAAATATGTCCAATCCCTTTAATGTGGATTTATATGTACAAATTTGATGTTAATGGTTTTTTGGAATGTTATAAGGCAAGGCTTGTTTTTTGTGGAGATCTGAATATCAATAATAAACATGACACCTACACCACTACTCTCACTGTGTGAATATTTCACCTTTTAATGGCTATAACAGCTTATTTTGAAATGGAGACCTTCCAGATTGATGCTGTTAATGCATTCATTAATGCTTCATTTGATAAACCTGTTTATTGCAGGTCTGCAGAGAGTTACAGTAAGAAAAGAGGTGTTTGGAGGGTTCTACAAGTCTTATACAGTCACTCTGAATCTCCACAACTTTGGTATGAAGACCTCACTTCAACACTCTGGGAACTAAAATTCCATCAGATTTGTGAAGAACCATGTCTATTCATTGATAAGAATATTATTATCTTCTTTTATGTGGATGACATAGTATTTTTATATCACAGAAAGAATGTTGGAACATTTGAGCAGTTATTGAAGAATCTACAGACACATTATGAGCTTCAAGAGATTGAAGAGCTAGAGTGATTTCTAGATATCTGTGTCTTATGCAATAGAGATGCTCAGAAGCTTTGACTGTGCCAGAATAGTTATATTGAGAAGATTGCTAATAAGTTCAATCTTATGGAGTTGAAGTCACCACATACATCAATGGTAACTGTGGATATAGCTCCTTATACAGAGGTGCAAGATAAGCAACAAATACATGTCTACCAACAGAAGATTGGTTCAGCTCTCTATGCTGCTATTATAACACAGTCTGATATTTTGTTTGCTACTGCAAAATTAAGTGAGGCTTTGGTTAACCCAGAACCAGAACACCATACAGCAATTGAGAGAGTTATCTCATATGCTTTTTCAATGAAGTATTATGCTCTTGAATTTCATGCTGAGAAGGAGTTGGATACCCAGGGTAATAATAATACTAATGATGTCATGAACATCCATTTAATAATTGCCAGTGATTCTTCTTTTGCAGATGATTTGGGCTCTAGGCACTTCTCTCAGAGCTCCATATTCAAGCTCTTTGGAGACTTGATTGATTGGAAATTCTTCAGGCAAAAGACTGTTACAACATCTTCAATGGAAGCTGAGCTTTTAGCACTATTCTATACAGCAAAAGAGACCATGTGGTGGAAATGCTTATTTAAGAATATTATGTTGAAATTAGAAAGAGATTTTGATATTTTATGTGATACTTTGCAGATGATTTGTTTACTGATTTCAGCAGCTCTGCAACTAATTACCAAGCTCTGCCATGTTGATATTCATCACCACTGGTTATGGCAAGCAGTTACTAATAAGAAATTGAATATTAGCTGGATTGAAAGCAATAATATGCCTGCAGATGGCTTAACAAAGGCCTTGCCTAGACAGAAATTTGAAAAATTCATTAAGCAATTGGGACTTGTGGATATTGATTATTTGGTAAGGGGGAGTTCACCACCTATGCTGCTGCCAAAGCTACAGAGGTGTGTTGAGCAGAAGTCAGATGACTTGTCAGATGATCAGATCTCTGAAGAAAAAACTGAAGAATCATAGATTCACCATCTTCTCTTCTTGATCATGGTACTGATTTCATTATCTTTGTCTATCAGGCTGGTGGAGATTTGCTAGAGGTTTTTCATATGTTTTTCCTGTAGCCTCAGTTATAGCATGTTCATCTATAAGTATCCATGTCTCATTTGTTAGGAGCAAGACCAGACACATTATTATAGACACTCAGTCACATGATCATCATGTGCTTCTGTGTCATCCAATAAATTCAGCTTTGGTGTTGCTGGTTAAGGCTTAGTAAGCCAGGAACACAAAAACTTTTCACTGTGAAAGACTGATGGAGAGCCACCAAAACTGAGTGAATTCTTAATCAGTTTGAGAATGCAAGTATTTTCCTCTTGGGTATAGATTTTTTAACACAAAAGAAATCAATTTCCAATGTTTCAGGGCTGTAGTGGAGGTGATTGTGTTGTGGTGATCAGACAAAGTGCCTGAGTAGCCAAAACTGGTGACCCAGTCTTTGGTGTGAGATTTCCCACCCACCACAGTGAATTGCCAGGTGAAAATGAAGAGAATAACTAAATGAAACAAGAGCTTTCCAATGAATTTATTTTCATTAAATTTGACTTAGAATTGATGGTGTTCCATATCAAGTGCTGTCCAACTTGAGAGAGAAGTGGAGATAGAGGACATTTTGATTTGTTTCAGTTGGGAACTTACCTAGAGAGATTTTTTCCTCCCAGAATAGAAATCTCCCAAAAACTAATCCCAGTTTTTCAAGAGAACAGGGAAACTAAGACTAAGTTTTGGCAGAAATCAGTCCAGAAAAAGCCAAAGTTTTCAAAATTCCCTGAACAAAAATAGCAGTAATAGATGGCGCGTTCCTGAACTATTAGAGCAGTTTATTTTAAGATTACTCTGGAACTGAGGGGAATGGTGCAAGATAACAAAAGAAAACTTGTGGAGCCAGATGAGTAGGTGTACTTGAATAAGAGAATCCACTAACAATTTTTCAAGAGCATTGTCAAACTGAAAGTCTTTTTGATAGAGAAGACTTAAGTAAACCACTTATAATTAGGCTGACTGCAGGGACAGAGATTTCCCAACTGGGATCCTGTCCCTAATGCACTAATGGGAAATTGGGATGGGACTAGAAATTGGTAGTTCAAACTGAGATGGGACTGGGACTTAATTTAAAGAAATTGGGATTATTTAATTAGGGATAGGGATCCCCAATTTACCTAAACTTAAAATAAAACCTTATTTTATACTATTTTTAGTACCAAAATCATATACAAATGTATATATGCATTTTGACTTGATGTGCAAATTTTTCTATTTTGTCATATTTTGGTGTAAAAATACACTTTCAAAATAAAGTTTGAAAAAAAATTAAAGTTGTTTTAGGGATAGGGAAATCCAGGGATGGGACATAACATAGAAAATTTGAAACTGGGAAGGGAATGGGACTTGTTTTCATATTTTGGGATGGAATTGGGACCAATTTTCAAATTTTGGGAAGGGATTGGGATCAACTCAATTGGGATTAACATTCAGTCTTGTCCCTTTGGGATCCCAAAGGGACCCCAACAGTCAGCCTACTTATAATCTCAGTTCAATATATCAACTAGTCTCACACTTCAAGAGTGTAACTTTAGTCCCTATATCTTATGTTGATCACAGAAAATGAATGACTTATGTGCTGTTTCTGTCTATCTGAGAAGTCAAGTCCAGGAAAAAATCTCTTCTTGTCTTTTTGAAGAGTGACAAGCAACTTTATCAGAATCTCAGAACCAATATCTAAGATTCAAGATAACTCAGTTCTTTTTCAATCTCAGATTACAATTCTAATTCTTCTTTGCAAGACACTAATGTATCTCAAGGCAAAGTCAAATTTCAACTGCAGAAGAACTGAAAGAAACTGTTATGATATGTAAGTAAAAAGTCTTCTTCTTTGCTAGAAAATCAACAAGTCTAGTATGATTATTCTAACTATAAAAGAGCAATTTTAATCATCACTAGCTGATGGATGCAGGGATCAGTGACTGAAAGAGTCTATGTCTTTGAGACAAATAAGAAAGAGAGAAAAGTTGTTTTGTTTAAGTTGTGGTTGAATTTATCTTTACTGATCTCAACTGGCAAATGGTTTTGACTTTTTGGAAGGGAAAATTGGGGCCAGAGAAAATCAATAGAATATCAGAGAGATAGAGAATTGATCAGAGAATCAGAAATATCAAACTGAATTTAAAAAGATCTTGTTTTGACTGAGTTGCAATTTAATTTACTGTTGATGATCTCAACTGACAATTAGTTTTGACTTTTTGAAGGTGGATATCAGGGCTGGAGAAAATCAATAGAATATCAAATAGATAGAGAATTGATTGAAGAATCAGAAATACTAAATCAATTTTGAAGAAATCTTGTTTTGACTGAGTTATGATTGAATTTATCTTTGCTGACCCCAACTGACAAATGGTTTTCACTTTTCAGAAGTGAAAATTGGGGCCAGAGAAAATCAATAGAATATTAGAGAGATAGAGAATTGATCAGAGAATCAGAAATATTCAACTGAATTTAAAAAGATCTTATTTTGAATGAGATGTGATTAAATTTCTATATTCTGTCAGAATTTTGACTGTGTTCTGCAGTTGTATCACTTTGATGAAGTATAATAAAGTTTAATGAAATAATTATATAAGTTCAGACTTCAATTCAGCTTTGATGTTGCTGATTAAGACTTAGTAAGCCAGAAACACAAAAACTTTTCACTATGAGAGACTGATAAAGAGTCATCAAAACTGAGTAAATTCTTAATCAGTTTGAGAATGCAAGTATTTTTCTTTTGAGTATAGATTTCTTGACATAAATGCAATTGATTTCCAACATTTCAGAGCTGTAGTGAAGATAGTTGTGTTGTGGTGATCAGACAAAGTGTCTAAGTAGTCAAAACTGACAACTCAGTCTTTGATGTGAGATTTTTCACCCATCACAGTGAATTGCCAGGTGAAAATGGAGAGAATAACTAAGTGAAACAAGAGCTTTCCAATGAATATATTTTCATTAAATTTGATCTAGAATTGATGGTGTTCCATATCAAGTGCTGTGATTGTGATGTTATATCTTATGCAGATATTGATTGTTGTCATAGACATACAATAAGACCTTTTTTGCCTTTGCAAACTGAATCAGATTATGTTGTGAATTAATGTTTTTTTATTCCTCTAGAGGTTGAAGAATTTTATTGGGTGGGTGGTATTTTCATTTGGGTGGCCAGTGCCCACTTTAGGGGGCGCGTGGCGCGATTATCTAACTATCAAACTCTCGACACGACTTGATCTTGTTCATACGCCTCCGCTTTCTCTGAACATCCAGAAAGCTCTTACACCATAAGCCGTGCGAGACTGACGTGTTCGCACTATGGATGAACCATCAACAACCCCTACCAACAGCGAGTCTCGCTCGAGCTTTCCGAGAAATCCTACAGAGTTTAACAGTGATCCACGAATATCATTTTCAAAGCTCGATAAAAAATATATTCTAGAAACTGAAGATGGTGATGAGTACTTGTATGATGAAATTTTAAAGAGATGGATACCTTCGGTAGGCTTTATCACTATTCCACCCTTACTTGGTTCTTGCTCAGAACTCCCATACAACCCGATTGATAAAGAGGTGCCTCATCAATAGATGAGGCATTTTTCAAGCTCTCTATGCACCCTTTGCCACAGAAAATAATGTGCTCTCCCTCTCCTTGTGTGGATTCAATGTCTTGATAATTTCCACGAGTTGGACGGATTATGATTCTAACTACTTGGCTCTCATTTGAGCCACTGGATGGATAAACAGTTGGATGACTCCCTCATCGAACAACAAAGAGAAGCGTATAAGGTTCATGGTGTTGATGAAAACGAAGTCGTTGTCAGGCCACCGAGGAAAAAGCGCAAGCAAAGCGAACAGGTAAGTGCCTTTCAACTTCGCTATTGATTCAAACCTCCGACAATTAACATTATAAAAGGAATCTGGAACTGGTACCGGTCACAAGCCTAGAAAACCCCGAACAAACTCGGCTGTATATATCACGTCGATCCCACTTGACGCTACTATAGATGAGATCATTGATGTGTTTTGTAAATGCGGGGTTATCGCCGAGGAAATCGACAGCCGTCGACCACGAATTAAAATGTACACTGATGAGCAAGGTAATTTTAAAGGGGATGCGCTTGTTGTATATTTTCGACCTGAATCGGTCCATCTAGCTATTCAGATGTTGGATGATTCAGACTTTCGATTTGGTGAAATTGGCCCGCAAGGCAAGATGAAGGTTCAGCAAGCAGATTTTTCCTTCAAAGCTCAGCAAGAAGCACCTGAGAAGCCGAACGCTCGAGATAAGGCGAGGATCATGAAAAAAACACAGCGACTTACGAGGTTCGCTGGCTGCGACCATACCCTGTTGTTATGTCATACATACTGATTTTCATAGTAAACTAACAGACTGGGACGACGACGACGATGCAGCTGCTCTTCAGAGTTCGGGGCGATTTGAAAAAGTCGTGATCCTCAAACACATGTTCACTTTAGCGGAGCTTGAGGTGAGGATCCTTGAGAAATCTTGCAACTTGAAGTTTTGCTAATTTCAAATAATAACTACAGGATGACCCTGCCGCTATTCTTGATATCAAGGAGGATATACGAGAAGAGTGTTCCAAAATTGGGGTTGTTACCAATGTTGTCTTATATGATAATGAAAAATCAGGGGTTGTAACTGTCAGATTCAAAAGCCCGGAATCTGCTCAAGCCTGTGTCCGGGTACGTATTAGCCATTACTTGTCATCGGAGAATGGCTATTATCTAATTCTTCTGATCAACCACGTAGATGATGCATGGAAGGTTTTTTGGCGGTACACAGGTAGAAGCTTACATGGCGAATGGAGCAGAAAAGTTCAAAAAATCGAGCAATAGAAACCATGATTACGAGGACGATGGCTCAGGTTGGGAAGTGGATAATGGAACCAGCGAAGATGCGAAGCGGCTTGAGAAATTTGGGTCATGGATAGAGAGCCGGAGACTAGAAGCGAAAATAAGCTAGCAGGTGTACGGAGTACTTGTCATAAAATGGCTGCTTTCTTTCACTCGTTCCCCGGCCTGGTAGGTAACTAGATACAGGAGAAAAGGAATGTGGATGCCACCCATTATATGTTCGAGTACGGAGTACAAACACTGGTACAAAGTACTCCATACTATTATTATTAGCTAAAACTATTTACATACTAACTTCCCGCGCCACGCCTTGTATAGAAATAGATTGTAGGTATGAAGTACTTTGTTTGCCTCATAACCTCAGACCTTCACCATATGTTGAAGAGCCATCTCCTACAAACTAGAGTGGGACTATGCCAAGATACACTAGGCTGAATTGAGACTTCTCTTCAACATTCATTAAAGATCTGAGCTGGTTTTCATCATTTCAACATCACTTTTCTTCAACTATGGTCATTCAATATTTCAATCATCACATTGAATACCATTAAAAGCAATGCATATCATTGTTCCATGATAAATAAATAATCAGTTTATTTGAAAAAAAATCAAAAATTTTTCTAATTCTTTCAGTATAAAAGTTTTTTAAAAGTTATTTATTTTAAAACAGATGCAGTCTAAAATTTTTTTTTACTCAATCATTTAATCATCACAGCTGTGAGGATTGGGTGGTTGCAGGTAACATGGCAATGGCTTACAGCCTTCATAAATGAGGTTAGATTGGGTGAGGGGTGGTTACAAAGGGATTTAAGCATGAGAGAGAGAGAGATAACTTGTATTGCTACAACAGTATCTAGAATCTCTAGATATGTTGCCACTAATCTTCATAAAGAAGCATCTGTGGCAGATTTTGTGTGTTCAGCTTTGCTAGTGAGATTATGTAATCAGTCACAGAATTTATGAACTTCAGATGTCATGGAGCATGATCATCTAAGCATTAAGAAGATTTTATGAATCTTTTTTAGATGATGAGATAAATGTAAGAAGATCACAGCATGAAGTCTTACAGATTCTCTTCTCTTCACAAGTCTTGATTTTCAAGACATTGATGTGATCAAGATTACAGTGAGAGTGACAGCTCCACTATGATTGTAACAATTTTGTACAAAATCTCTTTTTAATGTGATGAATGTTCAGAGACCACAGTGCAGAGTCTTAATTCAATCTCAGTTTCTAGATGTAGATGTGACAGTAAGATTACAGCAAGAGTGACAGCTTTTCTGTGATTGTAATGTAGTTACTGTAGTGACTGTCATTTCTCATGATTCATCTAGTGATACTTAACAATCTTTTGAATATAAATATCTCTTTCTTGATCTTCTTTCTCTTTCTCTTTCTTTTTCTCTTTCAACAACATTCTTCTTTATTTTGATAAGAGTTTCAGACAAGCATTCTCTTCTTGATGATTATGAATCTTGAGAGACTTTGTAAACAGCTTTTCTCAGTGCTAACACATTATGCAGAGAGATAATTTTGCCATGTCTTTCTTCTGTTTAAAATTAAGATGTCAAAACATGAGTAACAATGGCTCAATAAGTTTGGAGATAAAATCTCAATCAGTCATCATTCAAGATTCTCTTCAGAGACAATGCAAGAGATATCTTCAGAATCTTCTGCTTCATCTGAAGCAGAGTTCTTAATCACTGCCATTTCTCAAGAAAATTAAAGTGAAGAAGCATCATTGTCATTAGTTTTCATTTATGCAACAGAGAGTTATGTCTCTGAAGACTTTGAGATCTCTTTTCAGATGTCACAGCCCAGTCAGTTCAATTTCAATTATGATGATGTAAGTGATATTCTTTCATTTCTTCTTCTTTTAATGCTTCATAATTGCTTTTACAAAGTCTGAAATATTCTTTACAAAGTGTTTTCTCACTCCATAATCCCCTTTTCTGTGTGCATGGCTGATGGCATATTCAGAATGCTAATATTCAAGCTTGACAGAAACACTCAATGATGTCTACTGTGTTTAGTAATAATTCTTTTTCAACTACTAGCTTCATTGTCTCAGTTGGTCAGATCTTGAGAGAGAGTGATCATTCATCTTTCAAATCTGAAACTCTTGTTGATAATGCACCATTTCATTTTTCTCAGTCTGATTCATTTCTATCACATTCTCATTCTTGGTCTGTGTTCTTTTCTATGCTGCATCCATTCTCAAGCATTGATTCTGTCTCTGATGCACCCAAGATATGTTGAGTTGCTTCATAACATGACTTATAAGACAGTTTCTGCTTTGTAAACTCATTTATGAAGTGATATTCAGAGTTTCAGCTAATGCTTTTCTTTCTCTAGAAGTCAGTCTCATCAACTTCTTCTCTGTCTACTGTGTCTGCTTCTGCTTCTGCTTCTGCTTCCACTCTCTCAGTCCCTGCCCTGGCTGTTAACTTGCTGGTCAGAACACTGATTACTATGAGCCATCTTCCACTCTTAATCTCAGATCAGAATTCATCTGATCATAAAAGATGACTTCTTGCTTTCTCTTCTCTTTGGTCTGCAACTCTTACTGGTTCAACAGACTCTGTTCAGCTGAGAGATAGAGCCCAGCTCCAGAAAGAAGTTCTGATTACAATGACAGATAATTATCTTCAGCAGTCATATACAGCATGTCAGAGTAACTTAAATCTCTCATTGAGACAGTGTGTCACAAGTTCTCTTAATAGAGACAGATGTAATAACTGTGTCTATCAGACACACAAAACTTATTCTTTCAATTCTTAGAGTTGTTCTCTTGTTTTCTTTCTTTTGTTACTGCAGACTTTGATCACTAAGAGTCTAGTTTTCTCTTTCTCTTGTGGACTTTGGCCATTAATAGTCTAGTTCTTTCTTTTATCTTAGAGTAAATTCACTACTTCTGCTTCATGAACTACTTCTTGATGGATGTAAATGCTTTTACAGACTGAGTTTTCTTCTAAATTGATTCACTACTTGAGCCACTGTTCTTCTGCTTCATGAATCAATCTCTAACTGCTTTATAAATGTCTTTATGAATCTAACAAGACCTCTCTAAGTGCACATTCTCAGAATACAGCATAGACTGAACTTGTCTGAATGTTTTCTATGAAACTCAAACAGCTTCTTATCTAGATGCCTCACATTCTTTGAAGACTTTCAAGTTCTTTCCTCATATCTCTGCCACCACACAAGATATTCAATTGCTCAGTCATTCTTACAGAAGTCAACAATCTTCTGTATCTGATACTCTTGCTTCACAGAAGATGTCTCATGAATTGAGTGGTGTGGTTGACTATTCACTTTCTTCTATTTCTTATGTTTGATTAGAAGAGACACATGAAACACATTGTGTACTCTCAGCCCTGATGATAGTTCCAATTAATAGATTTGAGGCTCCAATTTTTCCACAATTCAGTATGATTCATGTCAGAGAACATCCAACTTCTTGCTAGAATGTGCTGTTCTAATGTTACAAAGATCTAATTACATCTGATCATCTTCATAAAATGATACTGCAGTATGTTTCTTGTCATAGTAGCTCTTTTGATAGACTTGCATCTTTGTAAGACTCTTTCAAGTCATTTTATGCAGCTCTTCCAACTGGTCTGTCAGTTTATGAGACTCAGTTGTGACTGGTGCTGGTATTTCTGCTTCCAGAAAATCCATCTGTGGATGGCTTGCTGTCAAAAGCTCAAAGAGACTCTTCTCTGTTGAGAATTGTCTAGAGTTGTTGTAAGCAAACTCTGCATGAGACAATTTCTCAATCCAGTCATCTTATTCATAATTGATGAAGCTTTGTAAGTACTGTTCAAGAGTACTATTCAGTCTTTCAGTCTGACCATCTGTTTGAGAATGAAATGCCATGCTCATTCTTCTATCAACTTTGAGGAGATATAACAGATCTCCTCAGAACTCACTTATAAATATTGATTCATGATCAGAGACTATGCTTGAGGAAAGTCCATGCAATCTGACTAGCTCACACATAATCATTTCAGCAAGTTGTTCAGATGTCAGCTCTTTCCTGAGTGGAACAAAGTGAGACATCTTTGTAAATCAGTTCACAATGATCAGAATACAGTTGAATTCCACTTTCTCACAATTCTGACTTGATGAAAGATCTGTAATCACATTCATTGTGATGTGTTTTCAAGACTTTTTGGGAATTGGCAAAGAAGACATCTCTTCTTGTGGTTTCATCTGAATTTATCTGAATCTCAAGCAAACATCACAGGCATCAACACATTCTTTCACAAGCTTCTTCATTCTTGGCCAATAGAATCTGTGTGCTAGCAGTTCATAAGTTCTTTCACTCACAAAGTGACCCATCAGAGATAAATCATGATGTCTTTTAATCAATTCAATTCACGGAGCTTCACTCATGGGTATATAGAGACACTCTTTCATAAAGAGACAGTCTTTCTTCTCTGTTCAGTTCACAAACTTGATTGAGTCTAACTGAAAACCCTTCCTAATCTCTATTGCATGGTTGTCACCAGCAAGCATTATTATTATTATTATTATTATTATTCATTATAGTCTTGTGCAGTCTGAGACTATGAAGACTACCTGCAAGCTGTCTTGCAGGATTTAACTAAGTTACAAAAACAATGATCAGAGACATGATCATAGACAAATTAACAAATGAAAAACATACAAGAGTGTCAGGGCAGTGACTTATGTCTTTTCTCCACAGAAATTTAAAAACAAATAATGAGATTATAAGTGAGATCTTTAAAGATACTCAGTCTGTTTCATTCAGCCATCTTCTGGTGACTATTCCAGTTTGTTTGAGAAACTTTCCCATCCATTTCAAACCCAATTCAGTGTTAAATAGAAACTCAAGTGATAGTTGTGGAATTTTAAACTCTTTCAAACACTGTTGTCTGTCATCTTTCAGACTTAAACAATCCATGAGCAAATGTTTTGGTGTTTCTTTGCAGCCACAGTGTCTGCAGGTTTCCCTATCATGATTTGGTAGTCTTATTAAGTAAGAACCAAAGTAACCATGACTGAATTTCAACTGAATAATTGTTGACCAAATCAGTTTGGGAAATGAAAGTGGACAAGCTTTCCACTTTGGTTTTGAATTGA